TGCCTTTGAGGTGGCGAAGCTTCTTTTTAAAGACATTTTTTTCTTCTCAGTTTCATTGCAATGTATGATTAAGATTACTGAGAGCGAAAATACTGTTAAGCTCACTTGTATGAAATCAGCAGAAGCTAAATTTGATAATGCTTTTGGTCAGTTTTACTCACAGAGCCTGAGAGATTTGTTTGCAAGATAGTAGAAGAAAATTAATTCTGAGTTCAAAAGGGAAGTACTGTAATTGTGAAAACAGGTCATATATTAGAATGAAATGCTAATGTAAGTGTGAGACATAAATCATTTTAATAATAGAGTACAGCAGCCCTCTCCATAATTCACACACTTTTGTTAATGAGTTATTGCAAGCTCCTTTCTTCCCAAAGTTATGACAGTGTCTTGTAGAGGCAATGCACGTTGTATCTGGGTCAGCTGGGTGATCCTCAACAAATTCAGCTCCTGTCTTTTACTGAGGGATGATAAAAGTATCAAAATGTGATGTATGCCAGTGCTTCTTTACTCTCTAGGGGGGTAATTTTATTAAATTAGATTATTTCACATCAGAATTCAATAGAATTCATTCCCACATTCACTTTAAGTGGCATGAATGTGGTTCTAGATCCACTTCCAAACATGGTTAAAATTTACTTAGTGCACAAGATAAAGTTTCCTTACCATAGTTTGCCTGACCAGCTGAAGTCTAGACACAACTACCAGCCTTTGACTCATCTTCAGAGTGGCCCCTATTACAGATTGGTATGCATTTAATAGCGGTTTGGCGTAAACATGACACAGATGCGAAACACCTGGTCTCATTGTGTTGTTGAGTGCATTAAATCATGTAACTGGCTTCTCTGAGCCTCTTTATCTTCTTTACATTACTACATGAAGGATGATAAGATCACTTAGTTTCCAAACTGAATGTGTTTGTATCAGTTTCCCTTATTCAGTTGGCTCTTAGAATCCCAGTGTTGTCAGAAAAAAAAAAAAAAAAAATTAAGTGTAGCCATGTAAAACTGTTTTGGCATCCATTCATGTATCTCAAGGAACTGATATAGAGCGAGTTGTTCAGATGCCATGTGTCTCTCACTGAATGTAAAATGAGAGTTCAGTTCTATTCCTGTCTGGCTGCCCTTGCTGTCGGGAGTGAATGGATGTGTAAGATGCAGGACCAGAAAATTAAGTCAAAGCATTAACAAGTCCTGGTATCTGCTGTTGTTTCTTCATTTCCTTTTTGCTCAAGTGCTTCCTTCATACCATTGCCTCTTCAGAAAAGCACGTTCCTTTGGCATCTTTCTGACCTGCAGTCTTAGAATGGTTTGGGTTGGAAGGGACCTCAAAGATCATCTAGTTCTAGTCTTCGTGTTCTTCTTGCATAAAATTTTTGTTTGCTTCATTGACTTTGGAAGACCTACAGAGTTGTCATCCACAAAGTCCTTTTGAATGCACCCATTACCCATTGGCATAAAAGCCTGAGAATACAAGATAGTCAAAGAAAAGAAGACAACAAAAAGACTGTAAACCAGGGACTAAGATCATTGATGATTACTGAGAATAAAGAATCGCGTGTATCCTGGGAGAAGATGACAGTTGTGCTTCTTGTGTGGTGAGGACTTTGAAGAAGAACCTGCCCAAACAGGCAGTCGAAAAGTGCTATTGTGCTCTGATCATGAATCACAAATATGTATAAACAAGTTTAGATAATGCACAACTGACACATGTACCATGTGTTTTGGAAATTGTGGTTATTTTGGAAATCAAAAGGAAGTCTCACAAGGAAAATTTCACAGTTTTTTCCAGCCATTCTACTCTGACCTCATAGCTGAAACTACTGAATTCATCCGTTGTTTTACAAAGCCGTGATATGCTCACCAGGCAGTATGAAATCTTCACAATAATGCAGAAATGAATAGCGCCTTTCAGTGCATGAATAGCTAGAAAGAGCACAGATTTCTCTCAAAAAGAGACGTTAGTCAAAATTCTTGCTGAAAGAAACAAAGTTGACAGAAGTCTTGCAATAGATTCAAATGGAAAGTATTCAGGAGGAGACAGATCAACATTTGAGCAAGCAAATTATTTATGTATTTGGAAAATATCCATCACAACAGTAAGAGAAATCTCAGTAGGTTTAGAAATTCCAATTGGACAAGCTTGGAAAAGTTACTATGAATTTCTTAGATTTGTTTGAGCTTTTTCTCTACTTTGAGTACGTGTTTTTCTTGTCTTCCTTCTCACTCCAGACAAACTAGATTTTTCCCACTGACTGTCTTTCAGTTTGCCAGGTTCATAACACATCCAGTTTTGGATCGTCCTCCTTAAATCTACCTTTCCAACAGTTTCTAACATCAAGAATTCCTCCAACCCTCAGAGGGATGAGTTATTTAATGGCTCTTCAATGTCTGTATAGCTGTCATGCTGAAGAATGTATCTTTGTCCAAAAATTTTTCTCTTCAGTTGTTTTCTTCATCCTTCTTCTGATTTCATGTCCAGACTCAGTGATTTACTGCTTACTTCTTTCTAAAATATGTTTTCAATTCTAATCTTGATATTTGCTAGTCTAACTTTTACTTTATAGAGGCACCTTCAGAGCAGAGTGAAGTTGTTAGCTGTAAAATCACCTTGAAACACTTCCATGGAGACAGGGATGGGGAGGAGAAAAGCATAAGTCACTAATGGAATTATCTAAGAGCTCAAATTAAAACCAGGAAAGTACATCCAGAAGATTTTCTTCAAAGGGCCCTACAGTGGGCTAATTTAATGCAGTTTCTAAGTGTATGGCAAATTTAAAAAACAATTACCCCAGCAAACCAGTGCTAATAAAAACTGGTTCTTAAAGTATTCAGATGTAGCATAATTCTACTACCTTTTGTGTGCATAGATGTTACTTAAAAAACAAGTAAATGAATGAAACTGCTGCAGTTCACTGGCATGACATTTACACATCTGCTGGTGGTGTTCCATTGTAGTATCCTTAAATTTTCAATTATTTTACCTAGTAACCTATTAACTATATATAAAAAAATAGTAAGGAGGTCACATTCTTAAGCTATGATAGATTATACCACTGGCCTCTTTTTTCCTCTCTCTCTCTCATGCAATTTTTTTCAAAGTTTTAATAGAAATCAAATGTTGGATGTTCTGCTGTCCTTTCAACAACAAAGGTCACAAATCATTATAAAATAAAAGATTTTCTATATTAACCACATGCTGTTTCAAAGTTACAAATACCTGCTTTAATGAGTTCAACACTATTGTAAAATAGGTTTATATTAGAAACTTACCTAGTACTAGAAATATCATTTGTGAACCACTCATTTTATGTGAGAAATATGTGAGCAACAAAGTTCTTTTCTCTACAGAAATTTTCACTCAAAATTTATACAATGCTTGTATTTCAAAATATTTAGTGAATTTTTTTGATGGAAAAACTTGACAAAAATAGAATATGATATTTGGATCACTGATTATGGTTCTATTTGCCTCAGAGCTTCCTTTTGCAGAACTTTGAGTATTTTTCTATGAAGAACCCAAAAAGATGAAAATGTAAAGAATATTCCATCATTTTATTGTTTCTCTTTACAGAATAATATTTTGTTTTCATTCATGAGGCTGACACTACAGTTTCGGATTTATGATTTTATTTTAAACTAAGATCAGTGATTTTTGTTGGCCTGTGTTTCTAATAGTTTTGAAATCTACCAGTTATACAAAAAACAACTGTTTATTTTGGAGGAAATCTCTTAAACCAAAAATGTATATAACCCAAAGGGTAACATGCTGTTGTGGTTAAGTGTCTTTCTTCCTATAAAAATGTTAAATTAATGTAATTTATCAGATTAGATCTTGATTTTACACTAATGACATAGTTCACAGGGGATGTATTGTACCTCTTTGAATTAATATAAATTCTATAAAGAGAAAGAAAATGATGTTTTGAATAGCTGCCAAGACACTGTTGTTAGAACACATGTTTTCAGTTCAAAAACATGTATGGAATTCATGTCAGCATAAAGTTGAGTCTGCAAGACAGTGAATTCAAGGATTAAACTGCTCTACAGTCCCAGTGAAAACCCTGATAATGCCAGTGAATTTCTGAGAAGGCAGGTAGTTATTCGGCCATGTAAATTCATCAGAGCATTAACTATATTATGTTAGATGAGAACGAAGTTCATTTGTAGAGGTTAAAGACATCAATTTTACATCTGTCATTAAGTTTCATTACAAAAATAAATTATAGAAGATTAGTAACTGAAGGACAGTTTACACATGAATCATTGATTCACTGCGTGACTCAGAGCTGGTAATGGGAAGAAGTATTTTTACCTTCAGTCACCCACTTAAATCCAAGCCCAGCCTAAAGTGACTCAGCCCTGACCATCCGGCAGCTGTTGGGTGTTCAGCTGTGCGATGAATCGATGGGGAAAGTACAGTCAGTAGACAGGTGTAGAAAACTCACCACGGTAGACTCTTGTGGTCATGGCAGGGAAGTTAAGGATTACGTGAGTGTATCATTTGAACTAGCCATTTACTGACAAACCTTGGAGAAGAACATGTTGTTTCCTTAGTCCCCGTTCACGACGGGAGGATCAATCTGCCCATCAATAAAGAACACGGAGCGTAGTTGCGTGTGCGTGAAGTTTGCAAATGAATCTACAAGCCAGGTGTTTCCAATACTATGCGAAGCATTCAAACTGCAGATGATCCTGTCTACAGGGGGATTTTGAATTATGTTGGCAATTATCAGAAAGCACTTTTCTAGTGTGGAGAAAATTTGAAATCGGGGGTGGTTCGGATGCGGCAGTAATCTTAGGTCTGGCGTGGATCTAGCATGCCACTCAGGAGCCCTGTTATACTCTCCTTTATCCTGTTGTCTTCAGCAGGTGGGATATTGCATTTATTGAATTAATTCTGATCCTACAGCTCTTCATCAGACCTAGTATGTTATTGTTAGATTGTTAGAGTGGTTTTCCTTGTTATAAGAGAGATGTACAGCTCTATTTTTAATTTTACAGATCACCATTCAGAGAGACAGTGGTTTGGATGTCAGTTCCCCCAAACATGGAAAAGTGGATCCAGACAACATGCCGCACGTTGGTGGAAATACTTGGGCTGGTGGAACAGGTTTTTCATTCTTTTTCTTTTTAATGCATCACTGAAGAATGTCTAAGGGAGATGCTGTGCCAGTCAAAAATGGGTTTCTACAAGGCTACCCTCTGCTTAGTGCTATTTTACTCAATACAGAGTCGCTTTATTGCCAGTGAAAAGAAGTATTTGCAGTGTCTACCTTAAACTGTGTATAGCGGATCTCTACTTCAATTACATTTAGTTGTTGCCTCTTTTCATTGGCCATATAGAGAACCAGAAGCTTGCAGCCATAGAAACTAGGCTGAGTCATTTGCCATTCTCTTAGATGTCTCTGTAGCCATTCAATTTAGGTAGCGTAGGTAAGAGGCACACAGAATAGGCAACGCACCTCCTAAGTCTAAAAGGGCATGGTAGTCATCACTAGATCACTACAAAATGTCGGGAGAAGACAGAGACTGAATGAATGTCTTTAAAGACCGGGAGCTTTGAGGAGATGTACAAGAGTTATATGATCTATAGTCCCCTTTGTACAAAGGTGGAAACCTTTATGAATCCGGTCTCAAGGGACTATAAACACAATTATTCCATTGGAGTTGTTCTTAACTGTGATTGTTTGGTTTTGAAAATCTTTGGCAATAAATATTTCTGCTGGGGATTGTTGGCAATTTTTTTGGAACATCTGTAGATATGACAACAGAAGTTTTAAAGGAAATGCATTCTTCTTTATTATTGAATGCATATTCTTAATTATATTTTATCTCAATCATGTTAGGTGGGAGAGACACTGCTGGGTTAGGTGGCAAAGGTGGGCCATATCGACTGGATGCTGGCCACAGGGTTTACCAAATATCTCAAGCTGAAAAGGATGCTGTTCCTGAGGAGGTCAAGAGAGCTGCTCGAGAGATGGGTGAAAAGGCCTTTAAACAGAGGTAATGTGAAAGTCTTTATTTTCCCTACCATTTCCCAGAAGAATTTGAAAAAGACGGCTAAAAAGAATTTTCTTTCTTAACTGTATTTATCAACTACATTACCCTGATCATTATTATTTAACAGAGCTTACCAGCATGTGTCTAACTGCTCTGGACAAGATGTATAGAATGTTTTATTGAATTAAGCCACACTTTTAAAATGACTGTGTGATTTGGTAGAGTAAAGCATAGCTAGGTGGATAAGGAGACTGATGTGAATATTTGTCTTTTTTAAAAAGGGATCTACCATATGAATTATGATGAATCCAGATTGTATGTTGTTAGGAATTCATTACCTAGCGAATGTCTTTGAAAATGGACCATTGTGAGCAAATTAGTTCTGTTTGAAAGACCTATAGCCAAATGGTGAGGTGATTTGAACTACCAGAGCTCAGCAGATACTTTTACAGTAACCACAGATCTTCCCATCATTAGTGTAATGCATGGTTACTAATCAGCTATTTCCCAGACTGTGCACAGAGATTCAGATGTCTTCCACCAACTGAACTCTTTCAAGTCAAACTCTGATACTTTGCATAAAAAAATCAAAGTATATTGACTGTCATTCCAAATGAGTTTTATGTTTCAGCCCAGGACATATGGCAATGTGAGTATCTGTCTGAAAGCAGAGAGTACTAGACACAGATTAAAACATCAGAACAAATAAATTTGGAAGCAACTTAATCAGTTCACATTTTGTTGCTATTAACACAATGATTCCCAATAGGGGGAAATCTGGGTGCTGTAAGGAGCAGGTGAGATTGCCATTTGCTTCAACTGATGTGTTAATAATTAGGCTGTTAAGCATAGAGCATACACTGGACATGAATCACTGTATTTAAAACCAGCAATTTATCTGTTGGATTCAGGTCAAGTTTATTTTTTAATCATATTTTTATTACCAAATTACCTGGAGCATTTAAAATTGCTGTTAGAGAATTAATGATTAATTAAGACAGGGAAAATGTATAGATTATGTCAGTGCTTCAAAGGAAGAGACTCCAAAAAGCAAAATACCTTTTAATAGTGATTTAATTTAGACAAGCAACATACAGAAATTTAAATTAAAAATAGTCATTTAAGGTTTTGGTTGCAGGGGGAAGGCATAGCTTGTTTTGTCTTTTTTTCCTGGTGCTTTATGGGGGGGCGGGTAGGTGGAGAGGACTACTTTTAACCCTTTCTACATCTCCATTCTTCAAAATTGCTTATCAGTTGCTTCATAACAGCAACAATTGATATGTATAGTCTTGGATATTGTACATCTCTTTGTGCATATGCACATATACACACACACAGCATTATCTGAGGAGTTTCTACCTGCCTGTATGGTGGTTTGCAAAATGCATGCTAGGGCAAATTCCTGGATACTGCTACACGTTGTGGAAACAGTGCAGCTGTGTCCTGTAAAATCTGAGTGTACATGAGATAACAATTCATGTCCTGCTAAAAACAGTGAGCTGGTATCTACCAGCTGTAAATGTAGCCTATTCTGAAGTCACATTTGATTTGGATTATTATTCTGTACCTCTTGGATAGTTGTAGGAACTAACAGATAAAAGTTAAGAATAGGGAGGTTGGAGTCCTCAGGCTGAATTTAAAAATGTCAGGAGGACTGCAGATTTCACTGCTTTGTTTATACATGATTATCTGGAAGGGAGAATTTTAATATGAAAACTTGCTTTCCTAGCTAGATAGTACTTCTAGTGGAAAACATTTTAAATTGCCCTATTTCACTAAAATAAAGTTAGCAGCCGCTCTTGAATATGCAATGTTTTTCATGATGTTTTTCTGAACGAGCTTTCACTGTGGACTGATGTAGAGTCTAACAAAGTAAAACCGCACGTGACTTCTTTTTTTGTTTAAAACAAAATATTTTCTTCATTGATGTGAAGATACTGAACTCTGTTGGCATTATCCATGAAATAAAGTGTACAGCACTGAAAGTTATCTTTTCCTGCCTCTAATGCATAGTAGTTGGCTATAATGACTATGTCTATGCAAAATTCAAAATAGAAAAAGACATAGTCATACTAAAGACAAAGATTTGATGTTTGATTTTAATATTATCATTACGGGGCTAGTCTAAACAGCAATTCTCATGTATGCTGTATGTTCCAGGCAAGTAACTCATAACGGTATTAAAAAACTTGTCATTAGAAATATAACTATACAGCCTATACATACTTTTCTATCCATTCGTCATTGATTTAAAAATCAGTATTTTCAAAACAACGTGAGTGAAGTTATGCTGTTATGAAGTGCTTGTGTTTGAAATTATCTGTGCACAGACAGGCTGTGGTGGGCTGACCCTGGCAGGAGGCGAGGTGCCCCCCAAAGCTGCTCTATCACTCCCCTCCTCAGCTGGGCAGGGGAGAGAAAAAATAACAAAAGGCTCCTGGGTCGAGATAAGGACAGGGAGAGATCACTCACCAATTCCCATCACAGGCAAAACAGACTCGACTTGGGGAAAAAATCATTTAATTCATGACTAATCAAATCAGAGTAGGATAATGAGAAATAAAACCAAATCTTAAAAATCACCTTCCCCCCCACCCCTCCCTCTTCCTGGGCTCAACTTCACTCCTCATTTCTCTCCCTCCTCCCCCCAGCAGCACAGAGGGATGGGGAATGGGGGTTGTGGTCAGTTCATCACACATTGTCTCTGCCA